ACAGCGCAAAAGCAAACTTTGTATATTTAAATAGGTGTAGGAAATACAGGATAAGTGAATCAAACAAAAATACTAGCTGATGTGTAGAGTCCCAATACAGAACTCTGTGACTGCTTAACAAAGGGCATGTAGCGATTTTCTAAGTGAACATTTCTAAGAGGAAGAAAAATCTAATTTTTGTGCCTTTTATGTGTTCTAATTAGGGTGTTTTTTAAAAAAATTCTGAACACAGCTGTCTGCTTTACTGTCTCTCCAGTGACGCCAGATGCCCAGTTCATCAAGGAAATGCAGGAAAACAATGATTTGAAAGCAATTAGAAGCACCGAGACTCATATTAAAATGTGATAACACCTTCCTAGTGGGAATTCCAGGCACTGCTGCATTTCTGACATTTCTGTGTTGCCAGAGATGAACATGTGTTTGAAGCAGAGTCCATCCCCACCCCCAATGTCAGTGAGTGAATCTCATGTTGGAATTTTATTTCTGAAAACAGTGAAAGGAATTAAGTCACTATGTAACATTAACCATTTCCCCAAACTGTTTCCTCTTCTATACACACAAAGATCCCCTCTATCTTAGTTCTTTGATTTAAAAACTGTACAGTATATGCATTTTAGTTCTTATATACACACATCCCTAAGTGCATATAACATTATAAATCTGGAGAAAATGAAAAAAAAATCTGCGTTGGTCAGAAGAACGCCATATCCATTAACATGTAGAAGTCTCATATGTTATTCTATATTATTTTCCACATAGAGTCTAGACATTTCTTTATGGCAAGGCACAGACTGTAGATTTCTGGACTGCTGACATGCATTTTTGAGGCAATTTCCCTCATTTCTGGACAGGGAGCAATTTGTGCAAAAATATTTCTCTGCACAGGAAATAGAACATATCATTGGCTCAAACCTCCATCTGGACTATACAGTGTGGATGGTATCTTCTCTCTCTGAAAGTCCAGTGACTCCAGTAGCAAAACCTAGGAGCATTTCAATCTGTAACATGTAGGCAGCAGATCCTATCCCTTAATGATTTCAATATCCCTTTCTTTCAGAGGTTCCGCAAGGGGAGCTTCACTAGATACTTAAAGATCTAAAGAATGCATATATAAAATGGGGCCATGTTAATTTGGATCTATGTATGAACATTTACATTTAATTAGTATAATTTATTTAAATTTCACAGAAAGAAAAAACAAACAATTAAGTTCTTGTTAATTTCTTACTTTCCAAATAAGGGTGTGTGTGTGTGTGTGTAATTGACAGCTTAAATGAAAGATTCCAGAGTCTCTAACAGCAGAAATGCATTTCCACTGAGAAGCACCACAATGCTGAATTGCATACATACCATCCAAAACTAACTAAGGGTACAACTAAATAGCTCAATTATCCTGTCCTGCTAGATCATGCTAAAGGGAGTCACTTTGCACTAAGGTACGCCATTTGAGGTGATCTCTGCATCCACATGCAAGAATTGACCACACTGCACCTCAGGCAACCCTGTTTAGCCCAATCCAGACCAAACTTCTTTCCCTTTAAAGGAAAGGAAAACAAAAATAAAAATACCCCTCTTGTTTCCTCAGGATCATTAAGTGGCTTTGTTCAGGCCACTTAATGATCTTGAGAACTGGAAAGTTCCTTCCTGCTCACCTAAGGAGGGGAAGTGGGAGGAAGTTTTCAGTTTCTTTTTAACTGTTGCTAACTGACACAGTGCATAAGCAACACATTCAAAGGGCTTTTTAAAAAGCCCTTTAAAAGCATCACTGATGTATTAGCAGCAATTTAAAAGAAATGGTGAAAAGAAGAAAAGAAATGTTTCTTCTGATGAGAAGACTCCCTGGAAAAGACCCTGATGTTGGGAAAGTGTGAAGGCAAGAGGAGAAGGGGACAACAGAGGACGAGATGGTTGGACAATGTCACCCAAACTACCAAAATGAATTTGACCAAACTCCGGGAGGCAGTGGAAGACAGGAGGGTGTGGCATGTTCTGGTCACAAAGAGTCAGACACAACTTAATGACTAAACAACAAAAAAGAAATGGAAAACCTCCTCACCCTTCCCCTCCACAGCTAATCAGGAAGAAAGCTTTCCATTTCTCATGTTCATTAGGTGACTTAAGCAAAATGGCAAGCTTAAGCCAACTACCTGAATTTGATTCCAGCAATCAAACAAACTGGAACCTAAGCAAAACAGCAATCATAACCACACCAAAAAAAAACACCAGTATCCTCTGACAGGGACTCAAAAACGCAGGGGTAGACATTAATCATAGATAGGGTATATCCCATTGTGAACCATCCTATGTGATCCAAGAAAAGGAGCGAACCAGCCCATCCCCAACCTGGACCAACCCACAGGACAAATCCCTGTCTGATTGTACCCTAAGAGAAAGCAAACCATGCCTCAAAAGGAGATCAAAAAGGCACAGAAAACTATGGGCCTTGTTCTACCTGAGACAAACAAATTCATCATTTCATTTCTTCATTTCTATCCTACCACAGGTAATCTCAAAAGAATGGTGTCTCTTTTAAATTCAATTAATTTGCAGTATTGTGAAAAAAAGCAAAAAATGAATGAGATTTTTTCACTTATAGCCTTAAAAAGATATGTATAGCACAACATAAACACGCAACTAGAGTTTCAAAAATTTGATAGAATCCAGAAGCAGACCTGGGATCCATCCTGAATTAATTTCTTAATTCCACCCAGCAATTTCCCTTCTATTAACTACCCCACTCACCAATCATTTTTACCTCCATAAATATACTTCAAAACAAAATAAAGTGCTGCACGATTCTTGGGAGAAAGTCAGTCTGCTCAACGTTTCAGAGGCTTCCACTGTCACCAACGGAAATCAGAGTTCTGCAGAATAATTCATGGTCCAAAGATATAGATTCAGGATTGTGGCCATAAATGCCCAGATCCAGTAATGCCTATTCCTCATTGACAAGTTTGGGAATTTTCTCTTAAATTTAAATGTTTAAAAAATCATTAGTAATTTGCTGATTCTCCATATTGGTAAAAAAATTATTATACTTATCAGGTGTTAATTTTAAAAGGTGGAGCAAAAGCTATAAGCAGTTTAATGTGCAAACCAAAACTTCTTTTGGCATACAACACCTTGCTATGACTAATTTAGGTCCCACTGACTTCAAGGAGTGTACGCTAAATATGAGTATGCCTCAGTTTAAACCACTGAAGTTGGCACATAATTTATCATGTTCTAATTCTGACTTTACTTTTTAGTCTAAACCTCAGTTTAAAAACTGATCTCTGAGGTAGGCAGGTATAGCCTTCCACTCCCCATAGGATGGAACTTTCCCTCCAAACCCATGACAGACAGGTAACATCCGTGCTGTATGTAACATACCCCACTCACCAATCATTTTTAGCTCCATAAATATACTTCAAAACAAAATAAAGTGCTGCACAATTCTTGGGAGAAAGTGAACAGAATGCTAGATGGGTAGGGTGGTAAATATTTAGGCTAGAAGGTATAATAGAGGAGACAGCAGAAAAACAAGCAAGAAAGATTAGGGTGGAAAGTAAAGGAGGGGAGGGGAGGAAGAGGCAGGTATAGGGTGTCAGTGGGAGGGAACAGGAACAGGCACCATGAGAAAGCAGATTGAAAAAAGGAAGGCAAAAATGTTGATGAGAGTGGAAAGATGGTTTAGTTGCTTTCTTTCTTCTGCAGTTTTTGTAATTTTCTGCACATGTGGTAAAGACTTTCAGTTTCTCCCAAAACACACATTTGGGAAAGACCTCCTGCCCAGACTGCTTAACGTTTCAGAGGCTTCCATTGTCACCAATGGAAATCAGAGTTCTGCAGAATAATTCATGGTCCAAAGATATAGATTCAGGATTGTGGCCATAAATGCCCAGATCCAGTAATGCCTATTCCTCATTGACAAGTTTGGGAATTTTCTCTTAAATTTAAATGTTTAAAAAATCATTAGTAATTTGCTGATTCTCCATATTGGTAAAAAAATTATTATACTTATCAGGTGTTAATTTTAAAAGGTGGAGCAAAAGCTATAAGCAGTTTAATGTGCAAACCAAAACTTCTTTTGGCATACAACACCTTGCTATGACTAATTTAGGTCCCACTGACTTCAAGGAGTGTACGCTAAATATGAGTATGCCTCAGTTTAAACCACTGAAGTTGGCACATAATTTATCATGTTCTAATTCTGACTTTACTTTTTAGTCTAAACCTCAGTTTAAAAACTGATCTCTGAGGTAGGCAGGTATATATGTATGTATGCATGGGGACATATGTGGTGTATTAGCTAGAGTGACGAACTAGAGCAGGGATCCCCAATCCCTGGCCCATGGCCCAAGGCTGTGGCCTTGGCAAGACTGGGCTGTGGAGACAGATCTCCCGCCCACCTGCCTCCCCACACACACGGATGCAGGGACGCCCCCCCACATACACACACACACCCCGCCCATGCACACACAGATGCGCACACACCCATGCATTCAAGGGCGCCCTGCCGATGCACGCACAGATGCCCTGCCCACACACACACGGAGGTACAGACACACACACACAACCCTGCATGAACACTAAGTTGGGGACCACTGGACTAGAGGAATGAGGAAACTGGGTTAAAATCTCCACTTGCCCCATTCCTCCTTAATGGCACAGAAATCTAGCAGCTTGCCAGATAACAGAAGCACATGTTCTATAGTGTACTAGTTCTCAATCTCTGGCCTGCCAAAGTTTTGGATTTCAACACATAGCATTGCTGGCCACTGGCCACACTGCCTAGGAACTGAAGTTCCACAGCATCTGGAGGGTCAAACATTAAGACTGCACTAGTAGGTTGCAATGGGAGAGCTCTCTGCCATGACCTGTCAGCTTCCAGAAGACCTAAGGGAAAACTATAGGCTAGTTACTTTTATGGGTTTATTGACAAGGTTGGTATACTGTTACTGTGGCTTTTCATATCTGGTTTGCTAGCCTACCCATACTTCCTAGACAGAAGTACTCACCTCCAGCAAGGAATCCCCAATGATACCTGAAAGAAAGTAACAGAGAATACATCAGTACTAGTGAATAATTAACCACATGTTGCATCTCACTATAGGCTAGTTACTTTTATGGGTTTATTGACAAGGTTGGTATACTGTTACTGTGGCTTTTCATATCTGGTTTGCTAGCCTACCCATACTTCCTAGACAGAAGTACTCACCTCCAGCAAGGAATCCCCAATGATACCTGAAAGAAAGTAACAGAGAATACATCAGTACTAGTGAATAATTAACCACATGTTGCATCTCACTAACTAGGCAAACAGTGTTATAGCTGATATGTTGTTAGCCACCCAGAGTAGACTTCAGTTTAGATGGGCGGGATATAAATTAAATAAATAAATAAATGTGTCAGGGGATTCACACACTCACTGATACATATGGAAATGTTTTAATTGTCTAGGGCTCCCTTGATATTTCTAGCAATTTTAACTATGTGCAGCTCAAGCTTTTTTCCCTTTAGGATCCTACTTTTTACATCTTTATCTACAGTCCTCTTTACATTATATTTCTGCTGTTTATTTGTGGAGGGGAACACATGGCTCTCCTGCAGGTGTTATTGCATTACAACTCTGAAAAACCTCAGCTCATATGGCTAATGGCCAATCATAGGGAGACCTGCCCTTCAACAACATTTGGAAGGCCACGTCACCCATCTCTTCTGTTGAGGTTCATTCACATCACAGGCTCGCTTGTGAAATGCCCCTAATTTATGAAACAGAGATGGGTAAGGGGAAAGGATTCACTTCTGAAAGACGATTAACAGCAGAAAAATTCAGATAAGCATCCTAAACTCAACTCCAGGAGCGAATGAGTGTGTCTCAAGGCTTTCAACCGTGACAAATTACACTTCAGCATTTGTAAAAAGATATTTGTTCCCTAATACTAGAACACTTTTTCCTACTCATCATAGCTTTTGCATCATTCCCAGGCCCCATACATGCACAAGCACACACCAGATATTGCAGAAAAATCCAACTAGAATAATCAATAGTTGACTTTGCTCATATTTGTCTTACCCTGACAGCCCCATGTGAGATGATAGGAAGAGACAAATTGTATCTGAAGGTGATAATCAATGATACACTTGAGTTACCCATATTTTAAAGAGATTACAGACACAACATTCTGAACAATCCTTTAACGTTTGGGACAGCAGCACTGGATCATATTCAAAGGAAGGACACAGAATGGTCCTGCTGAACTTTCAAGAGAAAATGTGGTAGAATTTATGGAGTTCTACGGTACACTAAAGGGACATGGCTGTTCCATTTCAGTTTAGGCAAAGAACAACCCCCCAAAAAACATCTTATGACTTTATAAACCCCAAAATCCTATTTCACTGGTCCCAACACAGAGGAGAAAGTGAGGAATTCCAGGGAAGAGGCGGGGGAAAGACAAGACTGTGGGATGCTCAGCATTCTTTCCATTTACTTTATTTCGTTGCTGCTATTTCTTAAAGTAAATTTCATTTTCATTAACTCTTTTGTGGTAAGAAAGCCTAATTTGTTCATTTTTAATTTAAAACAATGTTTATTAATTTTTGCTTTAATATTAAGTTACAGAGAAAGAAAAAAAGAGAGGCAGGCAGGCATAATGCCAAGAAATCTTGGAACTACTATTCTATTGCTTATATTTGTAATAATGTTTTGAAATAATAACCTGAAATTTTGCATTTGTGATCTGTTTAACGAGGTTTACAAATGAGCCAGATTTCAAACTAATATGGTAAATATTACTGGAGCTACAGCAAGTGAAAAATTCTGAAAACTAACACAGATACTAATAAAATGTATCACAAACTCGGTGCAATAACTAAGTATCAATATATACTCCAAGGATAAGGAACACATGGACTGCCAGATGTTGTCGGACAGCAAATCCCATTTATCCTTCATCACTAGCTACACAGGCAAGGGAAGGCAGAAAGTACACTCCGGGAGTGTCTAGAGGGCTGCATGTTCCTCATTTCCGATATATAGAGCCAAGCTGCACTTGGGTTATAGTCATGTACAAGAATTTGCTATAAGTTTAAAATTCATAGACACTTTTAACAGTAAACTCGTTTAAATGAATTGGATTTACACAGGGGGGAGGATTTCTATTTCACATTTTCCTTGCGACTTAGATTTAAACCCATAAGCAAGTTCAAATATGTTTATGAGGAATCTGGCCTTTCCCACTAGATTACTCATAAACATATTCAAACCTACCCAAAAGCTCAAACATACGTAGGTTGCAGGAAAAAATGACATGTTATAAAAATCCTCTCCCCGGTCAAATGACTTCAGTCTTGACAGTTAAAATGTTTATTCTGTGTAATCCCAACTTCATCTGCTAGACAAAGTTTCAATTGTACCAGGAGTTCCTTGATAAACCAAAGACTATGAACAAGTGAGTGGGACTCTCTGTCCTTGGTGACCTTTGAAAGGCCAGGTTTGAATCTGATGTATCCTAACATGACATGAAGAAGCAGACACCTTTTTTCTGTAATCTCTAAAGCATATACTCATTATTATTCAAAAATCTATCTTCCTGGCTTTTTTAGCTTACTTCTTTTTTTTCTGCCATATAGGGGATTATTTCTTGTCCTATAGGATATGTGTGACTCTTTTCGAGATACTATGAGTGATTTGGTGACACCAGTACTTCTTGTTTTGTGAATTCTTGTCCTCTCTCCTTCATAGCAACACCTAATTTCAACTAAACATGTCTTCTTCCTAACATTTATTGCACTAGGTGCCAAGAATGATTTTCTGTCACTTTCAATTTCAGTTTGACCATATGGATTGGTATTTCTGTCCCTAACCTCTGTCATTTTTAAAACATTATGCAGGAAGGTTTTTCCAAGTAAATGTGAGTTCCAGTTTATATTTTGAAGTTTCATGACAAATCTTCAATAGGACACTATTATTGTCCAGGCACGTTACATATAGACATTACTATAGCAATAAAGTGTTTTTCTCCTACTATTCACAAATAAAAACAATACAATTTGCACAGAACATTATTAATATTTTGATTTCCCCTCCCAAACATTTTAAAATTCATTTCCTGAATGTCTTTATTCAAAGTTACCAGCAACATTTATCATCTATATTTCCTCTATTATATGATAGACACTGAAGTCAAGTATTTTCACGATCAATGGGCGAAAGTAAGCACGATGTAGTTCATGTTATCTGACCATATGTCAGCATGAATGGGCACCATTTGGATTAGAACTAAGGGTGGGGGATACTTTAAGCCTTTGCCCCCACCATTATCCTGACAAAAAAGCAGATACCACCACCACCTTTGCACCTATTATTAGCAACAAGAAGAAACTCAAATCAACCAAAAGTACTCAATAGCATTGGTCAGCTACTTTATAAACTACATAAACCTTCCCAAGCCTGACTTGTTAATTCGAGGTAGAATTCATCTGGGATACTATTTTCTATTTATTTAAGTATCTTATGAGAGGCAGTGCAGTATAGCTGATCAAGTGGCAGACCAGGACTCAGGTTCAAATCCCTATTTGATCATGGAAATTCACTGGGGGAGGGGGAGCAATGGTAAACCATTTCTTTGACTTTTCAAATATCTCAAAAATCCTATTAGGGGATGGGAGGATTTTGATAGCACATAACAACATTACCTTTAGACTGCTTTACTGAGGCTACAAGATAAAAAAAACAGAAAATAATTTACTGCAATGCAAAAAACATTCAATACAAATTGAATAGAAAATAAGAAAAGCTAGAAATTACAATATCTAAACCTTAGCAGCTAGACAGCTCAGATCTAAAATTTTACTGCCCTTGATAGGAAGATAAACAACAGATGTCTAGTTTTACATTTCTATAGTAGAATAATTATGCCTTAAAATGTCTATAGTCAAGCCTTCAACACCTGACGATATGAATTAAGTTATAAAATGTATTAATCACTTTTTAAATTTAAAATATCAAAAACTGTGAAGCAATTTCTGCTGTCCATATGTATTTAAAATACTGTATGTTCTTAATTCTAATATTGCAATATCTATTTGATTTTCACAGCTTAACTTTCAGCACATGTTATAAGCTTGTTGGTGAATGGCCAAAACTGAGAAAATTAAGTGCAGAGGTGGATTAAAGAGTAATAAATTCCTATTGCCCCAAAGCAGTAACATAAGAAGAACTGCCTGAATAAAGGCACAGATCACTTTGTGGAATGACTGATTTTACACCAGCAGCTTCCTGAGTTCTAAGGACCACTTATTTACAAAGAAGTGAGTTGAGAACTGTGGTGCATGTGTGCACACACACTACTGCTGGACTTGTTAAAATGAATGGGAAGTATCCAAGAGCACAGCAGCACTTTTTTTATTATGTTCTCACAAAATGGATTCTGTCCTATGTGTCATATCTGTCCATATTTTAACCTAGCTCTTCCCACTGCAGTTAAATTTGATCCCTGAAGCTATTACTTTCCATAAAATCTTGTTAGAGCTGTGCTCTGCACATGCTTCCACCAAAGTACACACAAACGTGCTGTTATATATACTATGTATATAAGCCTGGGAATTGATGAATCTGTCAATTTTGATTTCTCCTGCTTTCTAATATTTTCTTCCTATCCAGTTTAGGAAGAAATTTTATAACATTGATGTGTATTTGATCTTCAAAAAGTGGCTTTTTGGACTATAATTCCCAGAATTCCCTTGACACATGGTGGAGGATTTGGGGAATTATGTTCCAAAAGCCTACTTTTCCAAGCTCTGCTTCTTTTAAAAAGCAAAACAAAATTCTCAACCTTCTCTGTATAAGCCAGATTCAATAAGTACAACTGTTACCCAACAGCAAACAACATGTTGTACCTAACTATATATAACTGTTAAAGATGAGGTGGGGTAGTGGAGGCTTCCGCCCAAATTCTATACCACAAACAGAGCTGAATATACAGGGACACAAACCCAGTCTTTTAAGAGCCCATTATTCATTTCCCTCTAGCTAGATACAGT